GGTGAAATGAATCCCCCGCTTCCACCCCACTGCAACAGATGTTGGACCCTTCGTGAGAATTGGCTTCCCGAAGGGAAAGGGAAAGATAACAGAGAGATCACCGAAAAAGAAGGCTTAGATGTGCCTGATGGAAAAAAAAACTACAGTGAGTGACTCTCAGGAGCCGTGCCTTGAGGAAAGTGATGATAAAGAAGGACATGCCTTCCAGTCACAGGACAGTGAGGACTGCTCCCAGCCATCCACTTCCAGCAGCATTGTGTACGGCAGCCAAGAAGATGTCAAAGAGTTGGAGAAGGAGGAGACACAGAACAGAGGAGAAAGCATGGAATCCGGCTTCTCTCTCAATGCCACTGAACCATGTGTGATTTGCCAAGGGCGGCCTAAAAACGGCTGCATCGTTCATGGCAAAACCGGACATCTCATGTCATGTTTCACATGTGCAAAGAAGCTAAAAAAAAGAAATAAGCCCTGCCCAGTGTGCAGACAACCAATTCAAATGATTGTGCTAACTTATTTCAACTAGCCCTGCCCATAAAAATAGAATTATATATTTCTAACTATATAACCCCCAAATTAGACAACATGCGTCTTATTTTTATTTGCATTTATTTTTATCTACACTAAAGTGAGAAAAGTGTCTTCGTCCACTTAAACTTTGTTGTATAATTGATCTCCTTGAGGGTATGAATAGTGACTGTTTCCTTCTTTCAGGAAAACTTCACTTGATTATATTTACATTTGGGTTTTGATATACTCTGCGTTGGCTGTGTGGCTCCTTTTTTATTTTCCTTATGTTTTAAGTAATTTCCAATTGGAAGGACGGTTGGAAGTGAAATGTGTCCTCTCCAGCTGCAAATGATGATGTGCCCTTTCTGAGGATCGACTGCATTAGAAGCATTTGATTTCCTTTTTTCCCTCTGTTAATAAAGAACATTTAATTTATTTAGTACCTCTCGCGTAAGGAGTTAGAAGCTGTGTGAAGGATTGAATATTTAAGTTTTTGAAATTCTGAAACTCCTTAGTTCTCTAGTGGCTGTGGGCTGGAGAGATGACTCTTGGTAAGGCACTTGCTTGTATAAGCCTGATGATGTAAATTTGATCTCTGGAGCCCCCAAAAAGGGGAAGAAGGGAACCAGTTCCACAAGTTGTCCTCCGATAACCACACGTGCCCCATGTGCACACAATTTTTTTTTAAAGGTACGAGTTGTATCTGGTGGTATGTAAGTAAAAAACATGCACCGTATTTTCAAGTGTGTTGTCATACGGAGTGGAGCAGATGATGCACTGATCTCTCAGGTGGAGAATTCTGAGGCCCTTAGAAGCACCTCCTTGGACTTAGCCCCATGGTTCCCAATGTTGCCTAAGTTTCAGGCTGTACTTAGGCTAGGTGTAGAAACCATTCAGCAGAGAGAGTAATTCAGAACATGGATAAAGAGAACTCATTTTAAAACATGCGTAGTATTTTAAAATGAATTCTCCATGTAGATTAACCTCTTGAATCATAATAAGAATCTTTCCCTTTGCTTGAAGGGCCATGTATAGAAGGGGCTCAAGTATAGGAAAATAAAATCCTCCGGACTATAAGTTTAGAGTAACCAAAGGACAGTTTTGTGCTAACCTTGTTGATGTAAGCATCAAAAACAGAAAACACTCCTTGATGAAGTATCCATCACATAAGTAGGAGAATGGCAGGAGCGACGGCTGCTGTTTTGGCTCCTGTGACTCAGTGAAGCTTCTCTCTACAATTTGTAATTCAGAAATGATATCCTTGGGAATTACCAGTTTGCAAATGTTTATTTAGGTGTGGTATACATACATTATTTATTTGCAAATAAATGATTTATTAAATATTTAAAGAATTGTTTCAAGAGCTTCATTGTCTTATATATTTTTCATAACAGTCTACATGGCTAACAAATCTTGATGTCTCTGTGTACCTGTGTATGTTGGCTGTACCTTCCCACTTTGCCCAGGGAGCTGGATGCTGTCTGGAGCCAGCAGGACACTGAGTAAGAAGTAATGCTGCAGTTTATCAGGGCAAGAATGAATGCTCTTGGGTCATCAAGGGGCAGGCTGGCTCAAGTAGTGTTTCGCTTGGTTGTAGCGAATGGTATAGCCTTGTAATTGCTTTTTTTCTTTGAAACTAATCCCAGGAAGCCAGGAAAGTCTTGTCACAGTTTTATTGGTGTTCAACAGGAATTGACTGGATAGGGCTGGTGATTGAGCTCAGTGCACACATGAATTCCTCAATTCAGTTTTTTAGCACTGGAGGGAAAGTAACTTTGGTTTGTCTTGGGACTTGGGTTTGGAGACTAGCCACACAATAGCAGCTTGATGTGTAGCAGAGGTTGGCCTTGAACTTCTGATCTTACTGCCTTCCCACATGCTAAAAGTACAGGTATGTGCCATCATGCCTGGTTCCAAAGTCTGGTTGGTTAGTTTTTTATGCTAGTCTCATGTAACCCAGATGGCCTTGACCTGTATGTAGCCAAAGATGGCTTTGACTGACTGATCCTTCTACCTCCACCTCTGTTTGAGATCACAGTGTGCCATCAAGCCCAGGACTCTACATTCTGGGCATGCTGCCAACTGAACTACATCCTCTGGAGTCCTCTGAAATGGTTGCTTTTCACATTCTAAAACTAATTATGGTGGTATTCTATTTGTACTGAAATGTGATTTTAATTGTACGTTAATAAATAAAGTTCCCCGGGGGTCAGAGCTATTAGAGCCATAGAGCGGTTGGTTACATCTACAACTAATATTCATAAGCTTCCTTTAGTGGGAGATCAAAATCAAGATCACAGATAGGCTACTCCTTTGGTGAGCTCTGACTCAGGTTAAGTGTAGAGACTAGGAGAGGCATGGCACAGCCAGCCTTAACAGACCTCAGCTTAACTGAATTCATGCATGACTAGCCACTTCCAGAACCCAGCTAGGTATCCCAGATCCCATCTGTTCAGACACATGGTCACAGGTAATGTGGTCACGGGTCCCTTTGTATTTTCTCTCCCTGGGAAGATGGTTGCTTCCTTTTGTGCCCTTCCTCAAGCTATCATTAAAATCATTTAAAAGGGGCCGGGCGGTGGTGGCGCACGCCTTTAATCCCAGCACTTGGGAGGCAGAGCCAGGCGGATCTCTGTGAGTTCGAGGCCAGCCTGGGCTACCAAGTGAGTCCCAGGAAAGGCGCAAAACTACACAGAGAAACCCTGTCTCGAAAAACCAAAAAAAAAAAAAAAAAAAAAAAATCATTTAAAAGGCATTGTATAGACAGCTGGGCATTCAGGATGTTGACAGGCAATGAAAATAGCTCCGCACGTTAGATTTTTTTCCTAATGTCAAAGAAGACAACTTCTTAAAATGTGAAAAAAATACTGTTGGTATAAAAATTGTCCCTCCCTAAAAAGTTCTATGATGAAGACTGGTCTTTAAGACTCAGGTCAGAATTGTAATATAGAAAGAATTCCCCAAACCCCTTATATAATTTTATGTATTCCCAATTCCCATTTCCAGACATTTTCTTTTTATAGAAACAGATTTCCAGAGTGAGCATGAACTGTGACTTGGAAGCGACCTGTCGGGAGGACTGCGCTTAAGCACCCATTAGCGGGAGACTCCTAACTACTACGAGAATAGCTCAAGAAGAAAAGTTGCTGGTCAACAGAACAAAGAATTCGAGACCAATTTCATTTTAAAAACACCATGCATACAAAATATGAGGCTTTATTGTTGGACAGAGGCCTTGGTTAGTCCTTTTGTTTTGTTTGGACATAGCTAACCAGTTGCCTCTTTTCCCCATTATAAAAGCAACATGGGAAACTTGGAGCTGGGGTTTGAGCTGTGGAGAGAATTCAGCCCTCTCACACGCATGAAAGAAATGGGGGGAGAAAACTTCTGTGCTCTGGAATAATCCATGGACATACATGTAGACAAAACACCCATACACATAGATAATCCCAGTTGTGAGCAGTTTTGGCGATAGACGTGCACTCAGATCAACATGTCCTCGACTAGAAGGCACAATAACAAGCTTTTTATTGATGAGGACCCTTAAGTTTCCCAGCTCCTTCTGGAAGCAAATTCTTTGTTTACAACTCTGCTGTATGTTTCAACAAAAGGGAGCCAATAAAATGTGTTACTCAGGACAAATGTGGTTTTTTTTTTTTTTTTTTTTGGTCAGGGTTCCTCAAAATGTGTTTGGAAATCTAAGATTATACAAGGCTGATGATTTAAGAAATGGTTCCATGGCTAAATGTACTTCGGAAGCCGGCTTCTCTTCTGCATGACTTCTCAGATCCTTTACTATGTTAATGTGAATATTCCAAAAGCATTTTGCTTCTGTGGTGTTGAGACTGAATCCAGGCCCTGTGCAAGCTTGGTAAGCACTTCCACATTGAGCTGCATCCTTTGCCCCAGACTGTTTTTTGATCAGAAGACACCCTTGCTCATAATCTTGTCCATGGAACACACAGCCACATAATTCAAATTAACTAAGAATATGTCACAGATAGCATACATGGTCCTGGAAGGACCATCTGGACATTATTGAAACATTCTTGTCTAAGACCTTAAATTTGGTCTCTCCTAGAGTATGTTTGATGGTAATCTTTTCTAGTTTGTAGATTTTGTTATGTTTGCAAACAAGTAATGGAAAGAGACGGCATTCACTAAATGAATATTTTTATTGATAAACAGATAAATTTAATAAGCTCAGAGGTAGTCATGGTCCCTCCACAGCAAATGTTACAGTCTTAGACAATTTGAGCATACTTTTTATTTTCTTTTTTTTGAGACATATTTTCTCTGTATAGCCCTGGCTGTCCTGGAACTCACTCTGTAGACTGGGCTGGCCTCGAACTGCCTGGCTCAATCTGAGCATCTTGCTTACCGGTCTTTTAATGATAAGAATCACTGAGAAGCTTATAATAAAAAAAATCAGCAAGAAGCCACTTGCGCGAAGGGCCGTGGGGTGGCTTGTGTACTAAAATATGATAAAATAGCCCGTGAGTAACAGTAGTGTCTGCCTATTAGTGATGTAAGTTCCAGAACAAATCCGGGAGTGTGAAGTCTGTTGTAGGCATCCAGAACAGTGTTTTTACCTCATCTAGCCATCACCCGCCCCCTCACCCCACCCACAAGATCACGAGGAAGGCAAAAGTAACCTCACAAACATCCCCTAGATTGTTGCCTCACAGAATAGAGCCAAACTTCTGCTGCAGGAGAATACCCACGCTATGCAGATTTATACACATTTCCTAGAAATAGATACTTCTCCACCCAGAGTCCATTCATACATTGGAAAGTAGAGCTAGCGTACACCATTTTGAGACAAATGACACATGCAGATTTGCTGAATCTTGAAAAACACTGAGAATTGAGTAGAGGAGGCCAAACATTTCTAACTTGCTCAGCAGTTTATTGGGTGAAAAAAATGAAGCACCAACTTAGCGTCTCTCTAAACATCCGCCCCCATTCATTTAGCTGGGTATTTTATTTTATTTTTTATTTTTTGAGACAGGTCTCTATTATGTAGCTCTGACAATCCTGGGACTCACTCTGTAGACCAGGCTGGCCTTAAACTCAAGAGATCTACCTGCCTCTGCCTCCTGAGTGCTGGGACTTCAACCATCCCAGTTCGAATAGGCACACAAGTGAGCTAGGTCACTTTGTGAACGTTTCCTTGGAAATGACATGATTCTTGCTAACCAGTCTTTTCGTTTCCAGCTCACCTTTAAGACGGTGAGCTGCCTTCAAAGGAGTTGCTCACCCAAGTATTCATTGTGCTTTCTCTACCTGAAGGAGCACCAAAACGTGGTCTGTACCTCCGCTGCGGCTGCCCGACAGGACCACTGTGAGCCTGGCTCTTCATCCAGCGTGCATTGTTCTCTCTGCAAGGGTTACCCCTGAATTTGGAACCTCAGGCTTTTGAGGACCCAGACATAGAATAATTTCATGGTCATGGTTTGTCTTGAGAGTGGGGGTAGTTAGTGGAGATTGAACCCAAGACTGCGCATGCTAAGCACATTATCATCGAGCCATACCTCCTCTCTCTGTTTAATTGAGTTTACCTTGGGTTTTGATACAGACTTCTGATTTAAGTAATGTTATTTTAAGAAGGACATAGTCCAGACCATAATAGCTGCTCCGGAGGCTAAGGCAGGCAGACTCAAAGCCAGCATGGAGTTTCATGTCCAGCCCACACAAGTTAGTGAGACCTTGTGTCAAAACAAAAAGTAACAAAACAAAAGAGAAGCTGGGCCTCCATGGCAGAGCTCTCTTCCTGTGTGTGCAAAGCCCTGGGCCTCTCCAGGAAGATACATCCACGTGCAAGTTGTTTTAGTAACACGTTTTCTGTTAGGTCCAGGAGCCAATTCAGAAAAAAGCCCATTTTCTTTAAAAACGACCCTAGAAAAGGGCAGGTCAGAATTTAGACCATCCAGCTGATGGCAAACCAAGTTCGCTCTTAACAAATTTTACTGTTTTTCTAAGATGGGTCTCACTTATAGTCCAGGCTGGTCTTGAACTTGTATCGATATTCCTGCCTCAGCCTCCCAAGAGCTGGGATTACAGGCGCTAGCCGCCACCCCTGGCTTAATCTTATGTACTTTAAATGTAAATGTACCCAAATCACTTTCTGAGCTATGATTAATGTACACTTTCCAAGATATCAGATAAGGCTTACTTAAATACAGTGATCAAGATATTCATGCTATTTTCAAATTTAGAAGTGGTTAAAAAAAAAAACTACACATACTATCGGTTAAAATATAGAGTAAGTTTGGCACCAACAGAGGGCATCAAGGGGCCCATGTATCCCTTCATTCCTTTAGAGTCTCAAAGCTTCACCATGTGCCAGGCCCTGCCTGGTTTCACAGCCATCCAAGGCTTGTGTTTGAAGAACCAGGTGACTCAATTCCCATGGAAAACTCACAGCGCGCGGGAACCAGAGTTGCTATTGACTTTCCTGTTTGCTCTTTATCCTTATTTATTTACCTATCTGTTTTTGAGAGTGTCTTGCTGTGTAGACCAGGCTGGCCTAGAATTCAGAGACCCAGCTGCCTCTGCCTCCTGAGTGCTGGGATTAAAGGCGCATGCCACCACACCTGGCCTCCTCTTAATTCTTGCGGTGAGTTAGAATAAATTTACTTTCACAGAAGGACACTTCTACTTCCAACTGATTGTAAGATTTTTTTTTTTTTCTGGTCTAGAAGGTAGTGCATAGTGCGGCTAACAGCTAGCAAACGCCCTATATCACTTTGAATTGTTTTTCTTGATGTATCCATGAAAAGTCTCTCTCTCTCTCTCTCTCTCTCTCTCTCTCTCTCTCTCTCTCTCTCTCTCTCTCTCCACCAGTGAGCTGGATGTTGCCAAATATAAAACTTACTTCCCTAAAACTGCTCAAATCTCTACCGTTCTGGGAAGGTCTGTAGCAGGTTGCTGAGACACTTCCCCCAACTATTTCTTTCCTATTTTGTGCTAGGCTCTGAGGACGCAGGAGTGAGCTTTTCCAACAAGTAGATCCTGGCCTGGAAGAGCCCATGCTGTACCAGAGAAAGCCAGCACGAAGTAGATAGCACCGTTGTGCTGGAAACTAGTAACCAAGACAACCAGCTCATTTGAAGGGTCTAAGAGGACTGGCCTTGACCCAGGTCATTTGGAATTTCACGGGAGAGGAAAGTCAAGGCTGGTTGAAGATGATGCTTGGAGTGGAGTTTTTTACTGAGTGGGAAACAAGATGCGGTACAATCAGAATGACATCCAGATCTGGGACTTCGAGCACTGTGTTGCATTTAGGGAGCGGAAGGGCTTTTGGGCAGCCCCCTTCCTCCAGGGCTGTGTGGAAGATGGACCTGGCAAAGAGATATACCTGGGAGGGAGAGACAGTGGAGCTGGGTTAGCAGTGAGGGGAGCTAACTATCATGGAGAGGATGGGCTGAATCAATATAGCCGCTTTCAGTGACTGACTGGATCCATGTAATGAAGAAAGGACCAAGGACACACGGAGCAGGATCAGCCCTCACACGGCGGTGGGCGGTGTCTCAACCGTCAACAGGATGTGGTGAAGTTCGTATAGGTCTAATCCAGGTGGGTGTGTCTAGTGAGCAGATTGCCCTGCATCAGGGTCTCAGGCAAGAGACCAGGATTACCTACGAGGGGGGCATCTTAACAGGACCATGGCATCAGGTGCGGGGAGGCAAGGGCACTGGCACCAGAGGCCACTTCGTCTGTTGCGTTCTGTACACACGTCGGGCATGTTTGTCCATTTCCTCTCATTTCTCCTTAGAACGCTGGAAAAGTAAATGTTCTTAGTCCTGTTAACTAGAAATTTCTTCCTGTAGGGGGAACCACTTGTACGTAGTAGTATTAGCTCTTTACAAGCACTCATGGCAAGGTTGTACATAGAATGTGATCAGGAACTGTCCATCATTGCTGCTTGGATCCATGTGGATTTCTGTATACAAAAATTATTATTTTTTCTTCTTCTAGGGATGTCTGTTTTGCTTCTCAAGTTTCTTTCAAATTTCCGGGACTACCTCAGGATGGAGCGTATGTGGGCGGCACTTGCTAGGCAGTGACCTCCATTCATCCAGACTGAGGATCTCTTTTATCGTGGTACTGCTGGGTTTGGAAACATCCAGTGTTCCTCTTGGGGAAAGCAGTGGAGTTTATCCCGGTTGCCGTCTCCCAAGAGGGACAGTTTCCGTAACCTGGAGTGACCAATCCCTGATTCCAGGTGATGATGGGGCTAGAGTTTCACATTCTACTTTATTTGAAAAATATGTGCAAAAGAGCCACGAAGAACACGAACAAACTGGGCGTTGTCGCAGCCGAGTGGTTTGGCCGTAGTTTGTACAGAGGGATCATTGGGCACGAAGGATCTGATACAAGGATGGAATCCAGCGGCCCTCGCAACGGGAGGTGAAAATCCTTTTTAAGAGCACTGAAGGTCTGGGACTTCTGTGGGATCGTCAGCTTGGTGAGGTATGGGTCATGTCCCGGGACTGTAACCTGAGGAGGAGCAAGAAACAGTTGCATGAGTGATTTCAGATGCGTGGTGGGGACCAGGCTGAAGACGCCATCCCCGCCACGAGGAGGCAGCCTTTGCACCTTGAGTGACAGCCTGCCAGGCCGGGGAGTAGGGGGGTGGGGAGGATGGGGGGCGGGGGCGGGGCTCGTGCCCGCTGAGTTTGCCCAGTGTCTGTCTGCTGATGCCAAGAATTACAAAAGGAAGCTTGGTCAGGGACAGGTTCAGCATCTGATGATGTGAGTTAGGAGAAAGGGGGAAGCAGCGGGCTAATTCTACCGCAGTCATTTTCACAGCGTGCCGCGGTAAGGATGGTTTCCTTTGTAGCGATCCTATACTCAGTATCCGTACTGGATATCAAGATTGTAAGTACTCTTCCCCCCACCCCAATTTGCTATCATTCTCTTTGCCATTGATCTAAGTGTACAATTCTACTCCTTTTTTTAAAAAAAAAAAATTTTTTTTAGGGCTGGAGAGATGGCTCAAAGGTTAAGAGCACTGACTGCTCTTCCAGAGGTCCTGAGTTCAATTCCCAGCAACCACATGGTGGCTCACAACCATCTGTAATGAGATCTGGCGCCCTCTTCTGGTCTGCAGACAAACATGCTGTATACATAATAAATAAATAAGTAAATCTTAAATTTTTTTTTAAAAAATATATGCATCCCCCCTCCCGTATCTATGTACCACTTGCATGCAGTGCTCACAGAGACCAGAAGAGGGCATCAGACCTCTGAGAATTGGAGTTACAGATGGTTGTGAACTGCCATGTGGGTTCTGGGACTCCAGCCCGGGTCTTCTTAACTGCTGAGCCCTTCCACGGATTTTTTAAAAAATAACAAACAAACAAACAAACAAAAAACAACTTGGGTTTTTCTAGCTTTGTTCCTATGCATCTTCAGCTAGATTGAGCTTGCTTTGTGTCTTGAGGTCCTGGCTGGCCTAGAACTCACTGTGTAGTCCAGGTTGGCCATGGACTCAAGAGAATCCATGTCTAAGGCTGTCTAATGCTTCCTTTTGAGTCCCTTATGCATCCTAGAAACCAGCCTCTTTTCTCTCAGTTCTGAAGACTGTCCTTGAATTTGCTGATTGGCTCCTTTGCCATGATTCTTAATTTGTTTATCTCCTTGTCTATCTTAACTTTTGTACCTTTGGGGCCCGATCTAAAAAAATTCATCGTTTACACGATGTCTTGAGGTGTTTCCCTTGTTTTCAAGTTTAATATTTGGGCCTTTGGTCCATTTTTAGTTAACTCTTGTGTATATTAAGAGTTAAAGATTATGTTTGATTCTTATACAAATGTCCATCACTATTTATTATTAAGATTATCTTTTCTTCACTGTATGTTCTTGGTGTTTTCCTCTAAGATCTGCTGGCCATATGAACACAGAATAACTTCTGTGTTCCCTATTCTGTTCTGCTGGCCTACATGTCTGTTTCTATGCATGTGCATGCTGCTTTAATTACTGTAGCTTTGTAGTATCTTTTACAGGTAAGTATTGTGATGCTTCTAGTATTGCCTTCTCCCTCCGCCTCCAACAGGATTGCTTGGCTCTTCTGGGTCTTTCATGGTTTCATATGAATTTGGTGTGTGTGTGTGTGTGTGTGTGTGTGTGTGTGTGTGTGTGTGTGTTTCCCCCTATTTCTGTGAAGTCATTGCTTTTTTTGATGGGAACTGCATTGATTCTAGATCACTTTGGGTGGTATGGTATTCTGATGATGTTGACACTTCTGGTCCATAAATGGGGTATTTTTGTGTGTTCTCTAATAATTGCTTTTATTAGTGGTTTGCAGTTTTCTTTTCTCAAGACAGGGTCTCATGGCTGCCCTGGAGCTCTGCCTCTCTAGTGATGGGGTTAAAGGCATGTAACCACCATATCGTGCTTATAATTTATATAGTATGGATCTTTTGGTTAAATTTATTTTTAAATATCTCATTTGTTTTTGTAGCTATTGTGAAAGAAATTGCTGTCTTAATTTCTTTTTCACCAAGTTTATTACTGATACATATACATGCTACTGTTTTTTTTTTTTTAATATTGATTCTTTCATCCTGTAACTCCTCGGAATTAATTTGTAAAGCTCAGCTGCTCTTTGATGGAAGTTAGGTTTTCCTAAGCATAAAACCATGACGTCTGTAAATATAATTAACTTTTTACTTTCCAATTTTGATAACCATTTTTTTTTCTTGCCTAATTGCACTTGCTAAGACCTCCTGTATTTGCCTTGTTCCTGACCTGAGAGTGCATGTTTTAGGCTTTTCCCCATTCCGTATGGTACTGCCTTTCACAGACAGGCTTTGGTAGGTACCTTCTACCTAAGGGAAGCTGAGACGGTTTTGCATCTGCAGCTGTGGTCCCAAGGCTGTGGCTGGGGAGGAACCAGGTGAGTGGTTGGTCTGAAGCCCCATGGTAGCTCTGTCGCTGGAGCTGTGGGGCTCAGCGGGCACCTGTCTAAGCTCCTGATCGACACAGGTGTAGTGAAGCTGTGGGTGAGGCGTTGGCTCGCTGCAGTGCCAAGGCTGTGGCTGGCAGAGCCGTCCCTAGAACTTGCAGGGCAGAGGAGATGGCACCTGGGCTTGGGCTACGGTAGCGGCTGGGCTCTGAGGGGTCTGTTTTCTGTCAGAGTCCAGGGTGGGGCTACCAGCTCCTACGCCAAGACCGCGCGGTTGTGGATTGGCAAGAAGAGTTTGAAGTGACAGCCTTCGGTGGAGCGGGAGAGCCACTTTTCAGATCAGCTCCCCGGACTGGGTCTAAAGCTTGACTTTTCATTCATGGTCACGCTGGAGCTTGCTGGCATTCCCCCGCCTTCCTGACTGTCAGTTCTCCCGCAGGCCCCTCCCCCGGGGGGCGGGGACAGGCAGGGCTGAAAGTTTCCAGGCGTTTCCTTCCTTCTTTTCTATGGGTTCCTTCCCAACCATCCTGTCACTACTCCTCTGCTCGTCTTCCGAGTTCCCCCTCATTCATCCCGACAATGCAGCGTCTCCTTTTGCTGCCCTGGCCTCTCTCGGCCAGGGGGCCGTGCAAGGCACCTTGGCTCACCGCGGCTTGCTCCTGATCTAAATAATGGGGTTGCACGTGTTTATTAGAACAGCCCCCTCTCAGCGCTTGCCTTGCAAGCCCGACAACCTCAGTTTAATCTGAGTTTGCTGGAGGGACAAACTGACGCCCCGCCCCCCCCACGCCCCGCCTTCTGACTTCTGCACGTGTGCCATAGCACACGTACACGTACATGGAAAAATTGAAAGAAAAAAAAGTGCTTGGCTTCTATTAAGAATTATCTGCCAGTGAGGAAAACACATGATTTTTCTTCCTGGTTTGTTCCCATCATTCCCACCTTCTCCACTCCTTTCCTATCGCCGGTCGGATTTCTCTTTTCTTTCTCCCTTGCTGTCCCCACAGTTAAGATTCCCCCCGCCCCTTACTTTGGGCCGTCCAAGGTGAGCACTGTGCATTCTGTGTTCACGCTAGCTGGCCTTGCACACTTACATTGATCACGTAGGACCCCGGCAAGAGAAGCAGGTAGTACTCTCCAAGCTTGTTGGTTCGAAACGGGCAGATGTGTTCTCTGTCTTGGACTTCCACGATGACATTCGGCAATGGATTTCCACTCTGATCGAACACTTGACCCTTTACACCTGCAAGACAAAGAGGAAATTAAATATAAGTATCAGATTTTTGGGGTCAGTGAGATGGCTCCGCGTGTAAAAGTGCCTGATGGGCAAGCCTTGGAACCCACAGTGGAAAGAGAGAAGAGACTCCCTAAAAAGCTGCCCACTGACCTCCACATGTATCCTGTCTGGCACAATAATAATAAAAATTGAAGAATTTAAAAGTAAATAAAACCTTTTTTGGAACGTGGAAGAAATTTCCTCTTTAATGACTTAGATATATTCTTAGTATTCATCTGTCTTAACAGTGTTGAAGAAAAGGGGGTAATTTTGACGCCTGTAAATCACAGCCGAGCTACAAGCCTGGTTTATAGCCTAAACTGGCTGGTTATTGGCTATTCAGTTTTTAGCACACATTATCAAAACGGAAGATCAGAAACAAGAATACCCATTCCTGTCATTTCCAAGTTGATTATTCATTCACCACACTGCATTGACACATGATGGTGGTGAATGCTCTAAAGTCCCCAACAAAAACTACTCACTCACAAGATCGTTGTCAACATTTAAGGACTTCAAAGGCTTGTTTTCACACCAGGCAAACTAAGTGGGAAGCAAAATTATAACCACAATGTTGCTTGAACCAAGGAAGTGACTGATGGGGTCTCCTTTTTAGTAAAAGCAGCCCACATTTAATGCGCAATCACTGTGTTCCAGGCTACGGGTGCATGTTCTCAACGACTCTTCACATCAGCTCTACAAGATGACAAGGCTGTTAGCAGATTTTTACAGGGCCAAGGGAGTAACTAAGTGGTAAAATTCTTGTCTAGGAGGAAGCGTGATAAGCAATGGCCACAAAGCATGGTAAGCAATCGCCAAGACTGCAAAGCAAAACAAAATACTGCAAATGTGAAGAATAAGGCTTTGAGTAATTAAAATAACTTTCGTCTTTTTTGGGGGGGGGGGTTCAAGGGATCAAATCCATGCCCTAAACAACCTCCTTAGTCTTTTTTTTTTTTTAAAGATTTATTTATTACATATACAGTGTTCCGCCTGCATATATGTCTGTAGGGCAGAAGAGGTCACCAGATCTCATACAGATGGCTGTGAGCCACCATGTGTGTGCTGGGAATTGAACTCAGGTCCTCTGGAAGAGCAACCAGTGCTCTTAACCCCTGAGCCATCTCTTCAGCCTCATACTTAGTCTTATGGTCACCTAAGTGGCAAAGCTGGACCCGAGATGCCGGTCTCTGGAATCCACACTAAACCCATTCTATTAGACTTGTCCCACTTCAAGACTTCAATGCCCCCCATGCTGGGGATCGAACCTAGGGCCTCCTGCATCCCAGGAAACTCTCCCCTGAACCACACCGGCCACTTATTCCAGTTTGTCCCTCCAATGACAAGCCAGGGTATCTTAAAGTGAAGTCATTTATGCCTAATGACATCCAAGAAAAGGCCACCACCATGATAACAAGACCTTGGGCTATCTGCAAATAGCTACACTCAGCCATTACTTGCCATGGAAGAAAACCAATGGGCACACATTCAACAGTGTCCTCTAGAAAAGATTGAGGGCAAAGGTGAAGGTCTTGACATTTAGCCACCAAGTCCTTATCTCGACCATGAAGCAAACCTCTGACCCAGATGGCCTGCTGAGGCCTTTCTGTTCAGTTCCTGGCTCATTCCCCAGCGAATGGGTCATTGAAGGCCACGTTTCCTCTCCACGGTGTCTGTGGAGGTCAGCTCCGCAAACCCATCTTCATGTGGCTTTTCCTGTTTATATTTGTTCTTACTATTTACTCAGGGTACTGAAGTTGAAGACTGAAAAGAGACCAGTAAGACCCAAAGGTTCAGAAAGACCTACGATGGCAAGAGAGAGGAAAGCCAACCGGTTGAAAAAAAAAAAAAAAAAAAACAAAAAAAACAAAAACACCAGCCCTGTTGTCAAACGTGAAGATGCCCGGAGGAGCTTCCCTGGGAGACACACATGCACAGCCTCCTGAGTTCTCCATGGTAGAATCTGGAATCTGGTCACCATTCAGAGTGGGAGCCAGACAGTCCCCAGAAAAGTGCTTCTTCAAGCCTGCTGATCATGCGGCACCCTGTTCTGGATCCGATGAAAGATCCATCTCTTGGGCCAACATGGTTCTGGAGCTCAGTACCTATCCAATTTCTCAGAGCCAGGTTGCTTAGTTATTGCAGGGTGGCGGGGGATGGTGGGGGGTGGGTTAAGCCATTCCTCAGCCTCTAGGTCCAGGTCTGCCTTAGAGTGCAGGGGAGGGCCAGGGCAGTGGCTGGTCACACTGTACTCTGCCTCCCAGGGCAGGACATCGCATGCCCAGAATTCAGACTTATTGTCTGAGCGACCTCAGGTGTTAACATCTCTAGATATCTTTCCCAGGCCACATCAAGAGCACCCTCTAACACAGCCACACGGAACCACGGAGCCCAGGTTCAGACTGAGGTCTCCTGTGAGTCCCAGCAGCCCCTCCGAAGCCGCAGAACAGGCTGGCGCGAAGCAGGGAGGATGTCTTGTTCCAAACTCTCAGCCGACCACACCCAAGCCTAGTGCTTTCTCGAGCTTTCAAAGAGGCCACGTGACCAAACCGTGTGGCGTCTACACTGGCTTTTGTCCTCCAGGCCAGGCCCCTGTGCTACATACAGCGGAGGCTTTTCCATCCCAGATAGGGAAGGTAGAGACTTCCAGATGGGTCACCATCTCAGACTCTGAAGCCTCCTAGTACGCGGTGAACTGAATCAGTGGATGAATACGGTGTGACAAAGATCAGGGAGTACTGATAAAGGGGCACTTGCCTTCATGACCTACAAATAAAAGTGCCCCTTGACTTCAGGCAGGGCACTAATATGGACCGAGGCTTTCTATTAAGTAGTAACAACCACGCATCAGTAATTTGAAAGTTTCATTTTTTTTTTTTTTTAATCAGAAAAAAAATTCCTGTCTCAAACCACTAGGGGGCAGGGTTGATATGCTAATAAACATACTGTTAGGTGAGTTCCCAGCTGATTACAGGGACAGGCAGACAGACAAATATTCTCGATACAACACGATTAAATGGGCTTGTATTATTACTTCTGCATTGATACTAACACTACTTACGCTACAACTTGTGTGGTAACTTTCAGGCTGTACAGCTCCTTCACAGTCCTATCCTATCAACATGGCGAGCAAGCCCGCCCTGACTCGGCACTCGAGTCATCTGCACAGCTAGATTAGAAGTCAACAGGGAAAGCGGTGAGGGGCAGAGACATAGCATGTCTGTCACACTTCCCCAACAACACCGACAAAGGGTGAGTTTCAGAAAAGAATTCAGAGTAACACAATGAAGGATCGCTATTGGGAGGAGAACTCCGGTGGACCGGTGAAATTATTCCAGGACTCATGGGGACTCAGTGAAAGCTGAAATGTCGGAGTGACAGCTGAGGAAACGACAGAGCGATTATACAAGAGGGAGGGGGGAAGAGACAATGAATAGGTCTGCAGTGTTCTGCAGACGCTGGGAAGATTTGGCTTTGCGTAAAAATTTTCACATTGATTTATTTATTGGGGGTTGGAGGCACACGCGTGCTATGGCATACGTGTGTGTGTGTGTGTGTGTGTGTGTGTGTGTGTGTGTGTGTGTGTGTGTGTGTGGTCAGAGGAAGAGGAGTCAAGTCTCTCCTTCCACCCTGTGGGCTCCCAGGCTAACCTCAGGTCATCAGGCGTGGTGCAGACACCTTCACCTGCGGAGCCACCTAGGGGGCTCAGACTAGGCTTCTAATTGGAGATGCTGCAAAAGCCTATCATCAGGTCTTCCTGGCCTTTTGCCGGATTTATGTATCATTCAATATGTAAAGTAGGGGCACCCTGGGCTTTCGCACCCTCAAATCAAGTGAACACGAACCGTCCTGTCTTATGAACAGCCAGGCACGGCACCTCTCACACGCTGCGGATAAAATATACGTAGGGAATCCAAACGCTTAGTCCCGGTACTGAAAATGAGGTCCTGCCCCAAGCTCCCAAGAGGTTTTGTACATCCTTAACCCAAAGGTTCTAGGCATGCTGTGTGTGTTAACAGGAATTATTAGACACAGACCTAGGTGCACCTGTTTTATATATTCAATCAAAGAGGCCTTGTTATCATCCCAAAACATCGGCAGCTTCTCTTCTCGAGGATATTTACAGCAGGACAGCTCCAGCGTAATTTCAAAACACTGGGCCCAGATGTAGTTGTAATCTTGCATTCCACCTGAAAACAAGCACATTTCATTTTTGTTGAGGTCTAACGCTGGAGGAGCCAAGTATTGCATGCCTAGGAAATGTGTGAGCGAGAGTCACAAGGAAGGGCTTAGACATGGAAAAAGAGGCCTCGGCTGTATTAACTAACTTGTCACATCAGGGCTTCACAGCTTTATCACCACGTGACCAGACGGACACAAAGAATCCCATGAGGTAACTGGGTTGGCGCTGACCGAAGCTGAGCTATGCACCAAAATTAAGTGAGAGGTGCAGAAAGATCCCTTTTTGGTTTTTGAAACCCTACATTTCAAACAGTTTTTCCTTAAATTGCATTTTAAGTGGAAAGTACTAGGGATATGCCTGAGAGGCAGAAGTTATATCTTATATGGATACAAGCTAGAATAGGAATTCTTTCTTTCTTTCTTTCTTTCTTTCTTTCTTTCTTTCTTTCTTTCTTTCTTTCTTTCTTTCTTTCTTTCTTTCTTTCTTTCTTTTGTTCTTTTGAGACAGAGTTTCTCTGTGTAGCTTTGCGCCTTTGCTGGATCTCGCTCTGTAGACCAGGCTGGCCTCGAACTCACAAAGATCCGACTGCCTGGGATTAAAGTGCTGGGATTAAAGGCGTGTGCTACCACCGCCCGGCTCTTTTTTTTTTTTTTTTTTAAGAGTAACTTATTTGGGAGAGGGAGGAGAGGGGATGATGTAAATCCAGTACTCATGTCCTCAGAAACATTTTCAATTAAAAGCATCACGCAAAAAGAAAAAAAGAACCGTTTATTGACTCTGCCACGAAAGGGCAGAGGGGTAAGTAGTCATATTGCCTGCAGTATAGGTCAAGGGGCTGCTCAGGACAGCGGAATAAGATTGATTCTTCTTAAAAACATTTCTGTAGAGCTGGAGAGAACACAGAGCAGTTAAGAGTACTTGGTACTGTTCCAGAAAACCCAAGTTCGGCTCCCGGCACCCACATCACGTGGCTAAAACCAGCCATAACTCCAGCTCCAAGGGTCTGACCCTCCTGGTCTCCTCAGACACCTGCACACATGTGGCATACACTACACACACACACACACACACACACACACACACACACACACAGAATAAAAAAAATTCTTTAAAAAAATATCTCTGTAAGCTATAAAATCCATGAACTCAATCCAAGAACACTAGTTTTAGAGGAAATAATAATGTCTAATATTTACTGAATATTCAGTGTTTTCGGTACTTTCCAAAGACCTCTCTATCACCTCATCCAATCGGGACGGCAGTCCCTTCTTCAGGGCAGCAGCCATGGGTATTAAGTCACGCAGGTCCAGGGACTCTTGCCTGTGGGTGGCAGAGACCAGGGTGTAACCATTTTGCAGGACCCCTGTGGCTTTGGCCCTCGTTATGACAAAATGTTTCTGAGGCTCAGAGAAAGGACCCTGTTGGGCTCAGACTCAGGTCCCTGTGGCTTCCAGCTGTTACCACTCATGTTCCCTTTTCAAGTTTTTGACATTAGGAGACCCTCCTTTCAAAAGGTTATAATTAGAGCGTATTTTGTTTGGCGTGAAGCTTCATACGTGACATCTCTAAATTTATGTGCTTAAAGTTTATACCTGAAAAACCTGTATTTAACTGAGGAGATTTCTAGAATCGTCTTCCCTGGTGGCATGTTGTATTTTATAGGAATGGGCATCTTAGATTTGATGAAATGCAGCACATTTTCTTTTTCTTCTCTTTCTCCTGTACTGTACTGAAGTCTCATCATCCTGGTTAAGTGGCCCACCACTGAGCCACATCACCAGCCCTCTAGTAGCTTTGAAGGAAGTGGATTTTACCTTCTTACACCTGATACCTGGTCTGGTTTGAATATGAAATGTCCTCCTGCAGGGTCATGTTTGGTCCTGGCAGAGACAGGGTGGCATCTGTCCCGGGGTCTGGCTAGTGGCCTCTGCTTCCTGATCTGCCAACAGTACCCCCCACCCCCGGCCCCAACCCATCATGCCAGTGTGAGGTGAAGGAAAGCCTCCTTCCTCTAGGATGCACCTGCCATTGTCAGTGATGATAAAAACAATTACTACAGTATCTGCCGGAGAAAATGCAAAAGGGCCTTCTCAGTTCCGCCAGGTATCGGAGAAGTTCAGTTTCAACAAAATGGTCAAGGGGTGGAGAGATGGCTGTGGTGTGTGTGTGTGTGTGTGTGTGATAAGAGTACTGTCTGCAATTACAGAGGACCCAGGTTTGGGTCCCAGCGCCTACCCCGCAGCTCACAGCCCTCTGTAACTCCAGCTCCTGGGGAGCTGACACCCTCTTCTGGCCTCTGCGGCACAGCACACACGTGGTTCCCAGACACGCATGCAGGGGAAAACACTCGCATACATAAAATGAATACATAAATACATCTTTTTTAAAAACTCAAAACGAAAATGTCAAAATGTCAAGTAATCTATACAGACGCAGATTCTACTGACAGAATTCCTCTGTCCTTTCAATTTTCTTTTTTTTAATCTTAAGGATTTTTTATTCCTCTCTGAATCCATTTACACACACACACACACACACACACACACACACACACACACTTGCAAATAACTCGCAACCGCTTTGGGAATTTCCACACATCTGGATTTTCGTCTTGGCAGTCACAGTGGCCATGAAGGACAGTTGTGCCACGGAACAGAAGGTCCTTTGTCGAGACGAAGAGGGAGGTCCAGGACTCTGCTGGTGACCTGAGGTGGGTGGGAGCAGATCTGGAGCAGCGGGATGAATTTTAGGGTGCCTCCGTGTCTGGCGGAGCCCACTGCCTGAACACCAACAATTCTGGTCTATGCTTATTTACTTCGTCTGGAAAATTGGCAGCGGGCCACCAGACACAAAAGTACCAGTTTGTGCTAGATTACCAGACAGCCCATGCACCCGAAGTGACAGCCGGGGAAGGCGCCTGTGGAAACGGCCTGTGTGCAGGCATGCAGGCTTCAGCTTGCTGTCGGTGGACCAGGCCGGCTAGTCGGGGAGGAAAGTCTGCTCCTCTCTAGCATGAGGAAGCTCCTCCTGCCCTCTCTCCTTACATCCCTCCTCGAGTTTTTCAATATCTAGACTAGTCCCGGTTTCTACACACCCCTGGGCTTCTGTGTGGACATCACTCTTTCTGATAAGTGTGAGCCACGCCTTAGGGTACTGCGGGCCGTAAATTCCAGCTGCTTGGGAGGCCGAGGCAGGGGATTTGAAAGTTCAAAGCCAGCCTGGGCAATTTAGTAAGCCCCTGTCTCCAAAGAGAAGTAAAAAGCGGGCTGGGAACTAGTTCAACGACAGAGCACTTCAAATCTGCACTTGGACGTGCAAAGCCCTGGCTTCACTGCCCAGTACTGCCAAGAAGACAATAAAGGACAAAACAAAAGAGGAATGGCCTTCCTCTGAATCCCTCACTCCTCCATCACCACCCCTCCTTTGGCCATCTTTGGAAAGAGACTAGCCACATGGGCTCCACTACTGCATGGTCATAGTCAGTGGCAGCCTGGCGGCAGCTGTCCTCATAGGAGGAACTTAAGTACCACTTCCCTCCAAGGTCTGCACTGCCCCCTGTTGGCGTCAGCCGGGTAGTAGACCCCTTCGCAACACCGTACCTTTTTTTTAAAGATTTATTTATTATATATACAGTGTTCTGCTTGCATATATGCCTGTGGGCCAGAAGAGGGCGCCAGATCTCATTACAGATGGTTGTGAGCCACCACGTGGTTGCTGGGAATTGAACTCAGGACCTCTGGAAGAACAGCCAGTGCTCTTAACTGCTGAGCCACAGAGTCAACAAACAAACGTCTGAGTGAGTGAAGGAGGCCCTGAGCAGAGAGGCCCGTGTCTGCTCATCTTCCAGAACTACCGGTCACCTCCACTGCTCCTGTGCTATTATGGGATGGAGACCGACTGAGGGACTGCCTTGTGCCTTAAAGATCTTTTGACACTAGCTGGTACTTCCAGCCGAAGGCAACAGGCTAGTATAGGGAAGAGGAGCCCACCTTGCAGCGGATACCAGGAGTACCCGTTAGTGATTCCATTGGGGAAGTTCCTTTTGTTTTTACATTGGTCTCCCTTTGTCATATTGGGGTTCCGGGAAGCATAGGTGTACGCGAGGTGCTGAAAGACGTCGTCATCTGGAGTGAGGCTTCGGGACAACAGCGTCCCTGTGGCTGCGTTAGAAAGACAAAGGGGCACGTACAACACACATCAGCTGACAAGATCACAGACACAATCACAGCAGGTGCAGACAGCCTCGGTCCCGCTTCTGCACACCTACCCCCTGGGGTGGTTTGAATGTAACTGGCCTCCATAAGCTCATGGGGAGTGGCGCTATTAGGAGGCGTGGCCTTGTTGGAGGAAGTGTGCCACTGTGGGGGCGGGCTTTGAGGTTTCTTTTGCTCAAGCTATGTGCTTAGTGTGACACTCAGTTCACTTCCTGTGGGTCAAGATGTTGGACTCTCAGCTCCTTCTCCAGCACCGTGTCTGCCTGTATGCCGCCATGCTTCCCGCTATGAGGATAATAGACTGAACCTCTGAAACTGTAAGCCAGCCACAATGAAATGTTTGCCTTTGTAAGAGTTGCTGTGGTCATGGTGTCTCTTTATAGCAGTAGGAACCCTAACTGAGATATGCCATCCCCCTCTCTTCTTCTTTCTACTTTTTAACCAACAAGGGTGTCATCTCACAAAAGAGTCTAAAATGAAGTCACCTCTTCATCATACCCATCATTTCTGGAGTTCAGCAACTCCCCTTAGGTGTTGCTAGGGGTTCATGGATGCTGCTGTCACATTTTCAATTCTTTTTAGTTGTTTGTTTTTTGAGATAGGTCTCTCTATGTAATCCTGGCTGTCCTGGAACTCGCTATGTACACAGGCTGGCCTCGAACTCACAGAGATCCGCCTGCCTCTGCCTCCCGAGTACTGGGATTAAAGGCGTGTAACACCATGCCTGGCCCTTATACTTAAAACACATCTCATTCAACAGACTCTAAGGCCGGGTTCCCAACCTCCCTGATGCTGCGACCCTTTGATACAGGTCCTCATGCTGTGCTGACCCCCAACCATAAAATTATGTTTGTTGCTACTTCATAACTGTAATTTTGCTACTGTTTTGAATCATAATGTGAATATTTGTTAGGCAGGGGATCTAATATGCAACCGCGTGAAAAGGTCGTTGGACCTGCAAAGGGGTCGCCACCCACAGATTGAGAACCACTAGAGTCAACACTGTTCAAGAGATTAAAAAAAAAAAGAGGTAAACCATTCTGGTTTTATTTTCTTTTAACCACTTGACCTACGTCTGTGAAACAATCTACATCTGGCTGTGGGATTTCACCCACGGGTATCTTGTTCCTGGCTGTCATTTCAAGCCACACTGCCCATCCACTATTGAAGAATTATAGGACAAGCTGGCCGCGTCATTCAGGCTCCACGGTGCTTGCCTAACATGCACAAAGCCCTGGGTTTGAGCCCCGGTATTTCATAAATCAGGCCTGGTGGTGCATGCCTGTGAGGGTCAGAAGTTCAAGGCCACTCTCAGCCACATAGTCTGTCTGTTTCAGGCGCCCTGGTTGGTACACATGAGATTCATTCTTACTCCTTTTCTCCCACCAATAAACAAACAAACAACCACAAAAACCCAATGACAGGACAGGTTGCTCAGGGTTGGGGACAGCAAGGCTCTTTTTTCCGGCCAGAAAAAGTAAAGCAAGGGTTGCAGGGTTCATTCTGCTCAGGGGGGGGTGGAGTGCTTGCAGCTCAGGTCTGCCAGAGCGAGGTGGGGGGGCGGGGGACATCACCCACCTTGCACGCCATTGTCGAAAGGGTAGCTGGCCACCAGGGCACCCCCATGGAGATTCGCCGAGAGGACAAACGTCTCCGTTTTCAGCCACTTCATGACGGCCAGTGTCTCAGGCTGCTTTGACGCGTTATTGTTTTCAAAGGCATCGGGGAAGTTTCTGTTCAGGTCGTAATTGTTGTAATTTTCCCTTTAAAAGAAAGGGATTTTGTTTATTGGGGTGCGTGGGTGTGGGGGAGTGGGGTCTTGCTGCGCACAGACCTGAGACTTGGGTCCCAGGTGTTTCCCAGATGTGCATGCAAGCGCGCAGCGGATGATTGATGTGGGGACCTCTCACGAATCTACCTAAAGTTCCCGTCCCCTACGGTGCTGTGATTTGCTTTCCCGATGGGATGTGAGCTACTGTGTCGCCAGCAGAAGGCTGGACAATTGTCTGCATTCTGGGACTTTTTGTTCTTGGAACACTGCCTTTTAGACACCGAGGCACCACGGGTAGCCACATGTGGGCTGTGCAGAACAATGAGGAACACAGGTGACAGCCAGAATTCGAGGATGACGCCAGACACACAGCCCCAGGGTAACTGTCTCAGACCTGAGCTGAGGCCCCAGATGAAGCAGGGACTGACATCCATCCAGCTCTGCCCCTCTTAAATTCGGGACTTCTGGAACCAACAGTCCATAAAAAGGCTCCGGTCACCACGCTTGGCAGTGGCTCCTTACCCCGCACCCGAGGGCAGAGACTGGTCACTTTATATAAACACACCTCAGAACGCTGGCATGACCATGCTTAGCTGTGCTAGGGAAGTTCAAGATGAAAGGACTCCAGTAGTGAGAGTTTACTTATTTATTTTTGGGGAACCCAACAAATTTATAAACCGTGCAAATACATGTTGTCTATGAAGCACAGAGAAACTCTAAACTCCCTGAGGCACTTTGAAACAAAATACACTATTAGACCGCACCATAACACCCACACTTCTTAGGGTATTGGATTAATAAACCAATGGGTCATTTGGGAGGGTCTGTGTATGATGCTTAGGCATTGGTTCTCAACCCCGTGGGCCACGACACACTTGGGGAGATCAATCTTTTCACAGGGGCCGCATATCGGATATCCTGAATATCAGATATTTACATTATGATTCATAACAGTAGCAAAATTACAGTTATGAAGTCGCAACTAAATAATTTTATGGTTGGGGGTCACCACAGCATGAGGAGCTGGATTAAGGGGCTGCAGCATTAGGAAGGTTGAGAACCATTGTGCGAGGCCAATGCCGAGCTAACGATGAGAAACACAATGATAAACTGCCCTTAGTAACTTGCAGGTTCGTGGAGAGCAAGATATTAAAGAAGAAATTAGACTTTAGGGGCCCGTGAGATGGGTTAACCGGTAAAGTGCCCGATGCCAATCAAGCCCGGTGGCCTGAATTTGCTCCCCAGGACCCACCCACATGGTGAAAAGAAGAATCATCTCCCATAAGTTATTCTCTGATCTCCCCATGCCCAGCGTGGCAGGCCCTCGATCATGCCCCACAAATAAATAAATAAACATAATAAAAATTGTACCATGAAGGTATAGTGTCAGAGGGTCGGAAGGCACACAGGAGACTGAATACACGCTACCTACACGTGTGGGGAAAGAGTCTTTGTGGGAATGCTATTCGGGCAGTTGATGGGGGTGAAGAATGGAAATGAATGGACACAGGACCTGAGCTGAGAAAGCACCCGAGAGAGTTCCAGGAGAAAGAGAGAGGCCGCACGAAGCAGGGAGGGTGAGGAGTGGTCAGGAGAGGTCGAGGGACTAGGCAGGCACCATGTATCATCCTCCAGGATGGAGGCCTGAAGAGACTCAGGGCACCTGTGGCAAGCACTGGCTCTGGGGTGCTTTATTGGGGGGTGACTCCCTCTGGGCAGGGCTGGTGGGTGCCTGATGGGAGAGCAAGCCCTCTTTACCTCCCGTTACTGTAGTAACAGTCGGGCTTCTTGACGGCTTCAAACCCATCGGGGTTCATGGACGGCATGATGTGGATCCGGGTGCTGTTGATTAGGTGTGTGATTTCGGCGTCTTTCCCGTGACTGGTCACCAGATAGTCGATCAGGTGGAGCAGCAACTCCCGCCCCACGGTCTGTGTGCAAAAGAGGCATGGGGCTAAGGTTATTAAGTCAGAAGTAACGAGGAAAGAGTTCCCCCAAAGTACAGCTCCTCCTGTAGGGGGTCTCCACATTTGCTATCTTAGGTCAAAATTCATTTGTGAGATCATTGGTTTTCTTTTCTGCCTGGCTCTGCCTCCCGAGTGCTGGGATTAAAGGCGCGCGCCACCGCCACCTGGACACTGGGTTTTAATGTGGTTAATTTCATTAAGTGATCTCAGGGTTGAAGCGGCTTTCAGAGTTCCATAGTCTGCTTTGGCAGCCTCTGCTTTTGTACATCTGTGCTATTTTTCTGTATATTTCTGATTTTTGCATTCTCATGGCCATGGCAAATAATAACTTTATTGTTTGCTTATGATCCACATACCATTCAGTTTTTGCCATCTGAATGTGTATATGCTGTTATTTCCATTTTCTTCAAATACGCTTACTTTTTTGTTTACATGGAAAGTAAAACTTCTGGCTGGAGAGAGGGATCTGTAGTTAAGAGCACTGGGCTGCTCTTCCAGGGGACCCGGGTTCGATTCCCACATGGCAGCTCATAACTCCAGTGCCAGGGTCCAGGGCCCTCTTTTGGCCTCTGTCGGCACCAAGCACTAATGTGGTGCACATACATGCAGGCAAAAGACCCAGACATAAAATAAAACTAATAACCAAAAATTAAAAATTAAAGCAAAACCAACTGATTGCAGCAGGTTGTCCTCTGACCTCCACATGTAAGCCCGTGACACGTGTATGCCCAAACACTTGCACACATGTACACACACACATGCACATACACATACCCCTTCTCTCTCAAGTACACCCAATAAATAACACGTAATATAGAAACTAAAAAAAAAAAATCCAGAATATTAAGCTTTCCATCCAGTTTTTTTTTAAGATTTATTTTATTTATTATGTATACAGTATTCTGCCTGCATGTGTCCCTGCCGGCCAGAAGAGGGCACCAGATCTCATTACAAATGGTTGTGAGCCACCGTGTGGTTGCTGGGAATTGAACTCTGGACCTCTGGAAGAGCAGTCAGTGTTCTTAACCATTGAACCATCTCTCCAGCTCCTCCCCATCCAGTTTTACTTCAGTTTTGTTCCCTGGTTAATACATTAAATTTGACTAAATTTCATGCATTTTACATACCGAATACGCCACACATTTTATTCTAGATTTTTAAACTTTTTGTTTAACTTTAAAATTTTTTTAGCATGTGGGGCCAGAGAAGGGCATCAGGTCCCTGGAACTGGACTTGGGTGCTGGGAACTGAACCCGGGTCCTCTTGAAGAGCGGCCAGTGCTCTTAATTGCTGAGCCATCTCTCCAGCCTCCTCCCACCTCCCCTGCCAGATTATTTTAATTTCTCCTGAAAGATATGAATTTCTAGAAAGATTTTGAAAATATTAACAACGGCCATTCTGGGTGATAGTTCCTGGATTGCTTCTCAATGCTTATTTTTCTAGTATCACGTTTGAAACTGGAGAAAACCCACGTTGTCTTCATAAAATAATAAAACGTTTCTTTTAGAGGAAATCTGTCTGTAACCAGAGAAGTGTCTGTCTTAATATTCCAAAATAAATCCCTAATGCTTAACTACAGAAGGTTAAAAAAAAAGTCTCACGAATATGAAGAAACAACCAGGCACCAGTTAGTTTAAAAGGCTGAGGCAAACACACATGATGTCTCAGAGGGAGTTAAACAGAATCCTCTTGTTATTTTCTTTATGGGGCCCTATTTGCTGCCCCTGTGATTTATGACAAATATTATTCAAATGTATTCTTCCCAGCCTGAGTATAAATGCCTCAAATACTCATTCATGTTTTATGTATAAACCTCCCTTTCTTCCTTAAGTTTAAGGCTTGGAGTTTGAAACCTCGGGCGCTCAAATGTGAAGACAGGATGTGGTGAAGTGGCCCCTCAGCTTAACCAGCTTTTCTCCCCACGGACTTGCTAGAGACTGCAGACGGCTCATGAGGGTCCCCAAGAAAGATGGCAGGCCCGAGACACACGCCAGCTCCTGGGACACCCCCCCTTAACCTCCCCCTTCTCTACTCAACTCAGAGAGCAGAAAACAAATTCCTGATCAGTTTAGTTCAACGCAGCCAAGTGGAAGCTGGCCAGACAGGTAAAAACGAGTCCGAGTCTCATTCTACAAAGAATGCTTAGAAGTAGTGGAAAATTTTGAAAGAATCTCTCCGGTACCAGTGAGAGAGCAAGCGGAAAGGAGGAGGGAGAGAGAGCAGGAGAGAGAGAGAGAGAGAGAGAGAGAGAGAGAGAGAGAGAGAGAGAGAGAGAGAGAGAGAG